AGAAGGCATCATGTAAGTTTATTTAACCCTCCTATATATTTATCTTTTACACAAGTGAATAGAACAATAATGTATAATAATTTTAGGTAAATGCATAGAAGGGGATAGGATTTTTCAAGAGGTGCCAATTTGATTGGGTTGTTTTGATCTTCCTTGATGCTAGTTCTTCCTTCTCATTATTTATTTAAAAAAAAAAAAAGAGAGAGAATAGAGAAATAATGAAGGAAGAAAAGAAGTTGGAAAGACCATAAAAAAGGGCTAGAACAATAATCACTATTAATATTCCTATATTTACAATTTGCTATATTCAAAAGGTGCATTTTGAAATGATAAACTTAAAAGACCAAGTCAAATGGCAATACTTTGGAGTCTATAGCCTCTAGTTTTTATCATTTTTAAAAGGATAGAATATGTTGCTCTTTTTTTTTTTTTGTTTTTTTTTTTTCGGATGTTCCAAGTCTGAAATAGCATAGGGGGCCCTTTCAAAAAGTTTATATGTAAAAGCATAGTGGCGGGAAACAAATCATTGTTACTAAATCTTTGCTTTATAGAAACAGGCATAAAGTTTCTTAAGAAGTACAACTTTTCTTTAAAATGAAATAGATAATTCCAACTCTAAACCTTAACATTAAAAAAAGTAAGCTATACCTGCAACCATAATTAACGTTATTTTTGCTTGTCAATAACACATTTGAGAACTCTTATGGTCCGTTTAGTTCGCTGATTTGAGTTTTTAATTCGAGTTGAGATGTGACTTTATGTGAAAGCTTTTTACTGTAGTAAAAAAGTTAGATGTGACTGTTTCTAAGAGCTTTTTACTATAACAAAACTCAAATTCTAAACTCGAATCGGTGAAATGAACGAGGTCTTAATACTTCCATTGTCAGTTTGTCACTGAGATTATTGCCTACGAATTAAATACTAATGTATTCTTATTGACCAAATACTACATGAAATATTTTGTGATTCTAAAATTATAATTGAGAACCCTTTTTATATTTTGTGTTATTTCAGGTACTTGCACCATGAGGTTACACCCCACATAATCCACAGAGATATCAAGGCAAGTAATGTGCTATTGGACTCAGATTTTGAGCCACTTGTTGCTGATTTTGGGTTTGCCAAACTTATCCCTGAAGGGGTCAGCCACATGACTACCCGTGTTAAGGGCACTTTAGGGTATTTAGCCCCAGAATATGCCATGTGGGGCAAAGTGTCCCAAAGTTGTGATGTCTATAGCTTTGGAATTCTCCTCTTAGAACTTGTAACAGGAAGAAAGCCCATTGAGAAACTCCCCGGTGGAATCAAGAAAACAATAACCGAATGGGCCGAGCCGCTCATAAGCAAAGGGAGGTTTAGGGATCTCGTTGACCCAAAACTTAGAGGAAACTATGATGAGGCCCAACTCAAGCAGGCCATCAATGTTGCGGCCCTATGCGTGCAGAGCGACTCCGAGCAGAGGCCCGATATGAATGAGGTTGTTGGGCTTCTGAAAGGGTACGAGCCCAAGCCCAAAGTGACACAAACAAGGATGGAGAGCATAAAGTACAAAGAGGAATTGGTGGCACTTGACCAAGCTAGTGATGAGGAAGATGGAGAGAGCAATGGGTATGGTGTTTTTAGTGCTTTGGAGGTGCAAAAGATGAAAGATCCTTACAAGCAGGGTGGAGTCAGAGGAACAACTAAAAATGCTTAAGGCTGTCATTGATTTATGTTTTTAGTTTGTTTGATAGTGGGATGAAATGGTTTGTTAAATACATGACTTACATACATGTTTAGGTATTAAAAATTTCTTTCCTTTTTTGGTATGATGCAAAATGTGAAGTTTGTTTTCTTCTATTGGATTTTGATGCAATGATTGTAGCTACAAAATGGGTTCTTTTGCATTAATTTATTTTTTAAAATCTTGTACTAATATTTCCTTTTCCACTAATGTTATGTGTTTTACCGGTTTGAATCGATTAACTCTCAATTACGAATTAATGTATTTCTACCAAAAGAATTAAAAGTTATTCATATAACTTGACGTAATAAATTAAGAAAATACACATGATTAAAATATATATGATTCTCATTATAGGTTGGGATGAATAGAGGCATGCATTATTCTCTCTTCTCTTCCCCCCCGACCCATAATGGGAATTGTATTTTTTAATAAATTAAAAAATACGATTTCCATTATAATTTGGTATATTTATTAATTACAATTATGGTGTCCAATTTGAATTTTCGTTTCGATAGATCCCATTTTTTTTCCATCTCGATACGACGATATCTATCTATTTATTTTTGTCTAAAATATACCTACCTATTTATTGATTTGCTTGCTCCATTTGTTTTTTTTTTTTAATCACCTGTACACATAAACACACAAGGAAATCTGCAATAATAAGATCGGAAGGCAGGCACACATAGAAGATGTAAACATTTGGTGGTGGAAATATTGTCGCAGCATGAGGAGAGATATTTTCAAGGATATCAATTTCATGTAGCAAGAACATATGCTTGATTTATTCTTTTGTTCGGTTTGTCATGAGAATTTGTCTAAATCTTGTAAATTTAGGGACATCCCAGAAGACAAGATATGTTATTTTCCAGTTTTGTTGAACTAGTTATCTTAGGACGCAATCAAATACCTTTGTCTAGAGTTTATAATTGTTAAAGGTTACAAATGCAGTGCTCAACCTAGAAAATTACAATCCGTGTAAAGATCCTACAATCTAAGCCACATGCACTGGGCCTTGAAGGAAGCCAGCCTTATGACATGTCGTTTTTGAGCCGAGGAGGCCTGCTGTTGTACCTATTTGGGCAAAACTTAGGGTATTTGGCGCATTGGAACCTACACATTGTAAAATCGGCAAGTTACTAATTTTTATATTTTGGCAAATCCTGAATTCAACAAAGTGTTACAAGGCATCCCAAATTGATAACAAATGGAAACACTCCTGTACACGTTCTCATATATATATTGTGTGAGCTCGTTTGATGGAATAGACCAAAATTTTAGATGACGATTGGAGCAGGTCATGTCACATGCATAAAAAGAATTTTCTTTTAAATTTTAACACTACTCATCGATTCTGAAAACATTTCGCAGCATTTCATTAAATTTAGGATAATGTAACAAAAATTAAAAGCTTGGTGATAACTTGTCAATTTAGTCAAAGTTCATAGGGCAAAAGGGCTAAAATCCTCCACACTCGTCTGTATATGTGTCATGTTTTTGTCGAATATTCATATGGCCATGCAATTCTATGAAAACGTGAATTTTCTCTTGCCAAAGCTTTATGTTAGCAAGAGCTATGATCTACATGTCCATGCATTACACAATGACGAATATAAAACTCTCTCCATCACACACATCAATAACAATGATAAACGGTTAGTTATTCATTAATGAAGAAGTAAAGAGCTCTTTTTGTGGTGGCCAAATTATAGCCACTCTTACCAAACTAAAAGAAAGTGCTGCTTTTTGCCTTTCCTTGTTTAAAGGACCTCTCTTCTTCTTTGTCTTCCATAGCAAGACAAATCAAATACGTTGCCCACAACCTTTGCTTATACCCCAAAGCATCCAACCACAACACTTAATTGCAGCTATAAAGATATAGAGAGAGAGAGAGAGAGAGAGAGAAACACAAGCACACAAATCACTTCTTCAATCTCCCACTGTAGAAAGGTTTTTCTAAATGCTTCTTTGACAAGAATAATGGAATGAGAACTATGGTGGCCTCACGATCCCAACTGAATTTTAATCATGATGTTTGTCACCTTTTCACCTATTCTTATACTCAGTGACACTTGTTCCGTTGTGGACAAGATCAATCACCAGACCAGAAACTGCTAATCAATTCTCTAAACAATACTTTCAGTTTCATCTCTCAATTTGTCTGCCAATTTTCCCGACAAAAAAGAAAAAAAAAATGGTGCCTTCCACTCCTGCTAAGATACTCGTTGGTATATCTTTGGACCCAAATGAGAGCAAAGAGTTGCTTTCATGGGCAATCAGAGTTCTTGCTCATCCGAATGACAACATTGTCGCGGTTCACATTCTGGGTTAGTTGGTCCATTTCGTTTCTAAACTATATCGACAATTTTCTCTCTCAACATTTTCTATTAGTGGAATAGAATCTGAATCTGCTTGAATTTAGCCTTGGCATGTTCTACTTGCTTGTGACAACATTTTTGTTTTAACTTTCGTTAAAAATCAGCTGGCAAGGAGAGGGAGAAATATGGATTAAAAGCAGAAAATCAATCGCAACTTCGCCGAGCAAAAGCTTTTGTTATATCTGTGCTAGGAGAATTTGCCAGGACCTGTCAATCCAAGCAGGTAAATTAACTGATGTAAAAATTCTATTCAAAAAAAAAAAATCCAAAATACATCAAATTAGGGAAGAAATTTATTTAGAATTTTCAGGTTAATTTGGAGGCTAGAGTTGGTTTTAGCTCCAGAGTCGGAGGAGGTCTAATCAAGGAAGCGAAATCAGTTTCAGCAGACTATCTTGTTCTTGGTGGCTCAAGAAACCAACCAAACAGGTATTAAAACTAGCTTTCTCTAAATAATTTTAGGTTTTTTTTTTTTCTTATTTATATTAATCTATTTTCACGAGTGAAATTTTTCTTTCTTGGATAGATCTCCGCACATTGCAACGTATTGTTTTCGAAATGTTCCAAATGGCTGCTCACTTGTTTTATTTGGGAAATGCAAGCCACCACAACAAAATTTAGATTCAGAATCTACACACTCTAAAGGTAAGAAGCATTATTTCAAAACTTTCCCAGATACAATACGAATTTATTTAATCTTTAGCTATTTTGCATGGATATCCCTTCAACTTTGTGAGTTTAGCAATTTAGTCCCTTAACTATTTTCTTAGCAATGCACTCCTTAAATTTTGAAATTTATTGCAGTATTAGTTAAATTGAAAATGAATTTAATAATTTGGATAATATCTTCTATGTGAGTGTTTAATAAGGGTAATTAATATCTTTTTGCATCAAATTGATCCTCATATATACATCAGGAGCGAAAAATTTTGAAATTGGAAAATAACTGTTTTGGGAGAAAAAATTGGGGGTCCTCCAATTTCAAAAAATTTTTCTTTCATGATGTGTATAAAGGGTTCAATTTGATGCAAAAGGATCAAAATTATCCTTATTAAACACCCACGTGGAAGATACCGTCTAAATTTTTAACTTCGTTTTCAATTTAACCAACAATGCAATAAATTTTAAAGTTTAAGGGTGAATTGTCAAAAAAAAAAGTTAAGAGACCAATTTATCAAACTCGTAAAGTTGAGTGAGTATCCATGCAAAAAAGCCTTATATCTTGCATATGATGACTTCTATTGTAATTGACCCTTCACAAAATATCGGTTTATTAGTGTTAGTTTTGAAACTTTTAGTATTGTGACAGAGACGTTTGGTTTATGGATTAGAATCATGAGATTAGAACTATTTTTAATTTACGTGTATTTTTTGTGAGAAAATATTGTAGCGAATCATGAACCATGATTCGACTCAGGGTATGAATCCCCTTACCAAACGTCACATAGTCTCTATTTTTTTTTTTTTGACTAATTAAATGCTTGAACTATATTTGTTTTTTACAGTTTTGGTCTCTAAAGAAAAAATTTAGTAGAAGTAATCATATGTACATGTTAGCTTTAAGTTTCACACAAAAGTGTCGCATGACGAGAAAAGTATTATTTTCAATGCTCATAAAAACGCTTGAAAATTAGGATATTTTGCACATAACATGATTGTTTTTGTAGAGTTCGAATTTTTTATGTGATTTACACATGAATGCCTCGATTAGAGTTCAAACATTTGTCATCAATTTTATTGTCACGACTAAACGTGCCACAAAAATGAAGTTTAGTGATTAATTGGTCAAAAAAGAAGTTCATGATCAATTTGTCACAATGTTAATAGTTTAGCAAACGATGAAATCAAAAACCTAACAATTAAATATGATTAATATTCTATTTTTTATGATTTTTTTTATTTTTCATTTTTAAAAAATAAAATAAAAAGGACATCAAAAAATTTTAAAATTTTATAGACACGATCCTTGCATTTTTCCAAACATGTCTATATAAAATGGCCTCAAAAAATAAAAAAAGAAAAACGTTTGATTGATTTTTTAAAACATTGTTTTGAGTATAATAAAAAAATAAAATAATATTTAATTATAATTATTAATTAATATATTATAACATTGTTGATAAGTACTAAAAAATAAAAATGAAAAAGAAAAAATAATTTTCAACTGTTTTTTAATTCTTTTATAAAAACTATTTTTATTGTGTTTTGTTTTTATTTTTATTTTTAAAACATTTGTTAAACAAATACATACCGTTTTCATTTTTGTATCTCAAAAAACGTGTAAATACGTCTTTAAAAACAATCAAAACTAATTCTAAACACACTAATTCTGTTCTAAATCTGTTCCTAATAGCAGAAACCGGCCGACCAAGTTCGAGACTGACCGACAAGAGCATTAAGAGTGACAGAGCAATCTCCCTTAAACAAAAGCTAAATGTCTCAGAAAGTAAGAGTAAAAATTCTTCACCAAGAACCGTTTTAGATGAACTTGAAGCTGCATCCCATAGCACAGAAGATGACACCTTAAGCAGTGGAGATTCATCCATCACAGATTTACCTTCTGTGACTCCAAGCTTTCGGACCAAATCTAATTTAAGAAAGCAAGGATTCTCACCATGCACAGTTATTTTTTCTATCCTTGGTTCACCATTTAGGAAAAGGAACTCCAGCAAAGGAATGAGACAGCCTTTGTTAAAGTGCTTCAGCTATGAGGAAATCATGAATGCGACAAACAACTTCAACACAGGTGAGCTGACTCGATGAAAAAGTTATTTGCTGGTTTATTTTATTTTATTTTACTTTTTTCCAAAAGAAAATAGGTTATATAAGAATAGGGCAAAGTATTAAGATAATTATGCATCTTTGTGTAGCATATGAATTTTTCATAAAACAGATTATTTATATATCCGTCTATCATAGTGAGACTGACTCAAATTCAATACCTTATTAAGAAAAAAAGAGCAATTTTACTATCTACTAAATAGTGAGACGTAAAATACTAACGCAAATCAATCATACTTCTTTTTTATAAAAAAATAGATACAGAGATAGATGGTGACATACTAAGATGGCCTAAATGAGACAATGCATACTCATGTGGCATATAAATTCATTATGAAGTGAATTTTTTATATATTCTGTTTCATAATTGAATTGACTCAAACCCAAGACATTACTGACAAAAAAAGAAAGTCTTATCATCCACAAATGTGATTAAAATTAATGATTTTGATTGTTCTGAGTTTCAGATAATATAGTGGGCAGAGGAGGGTACTCTGAGGTGTATAGAGGAGATCTTTCTGATGGACAAACCATTGCTGTGAAGAGGTTGGCTAAGGACAACAAAGATGCTAAAAAGGAGAAAGAGTTTCTCATGGAATTGGGAATAATTGGACATGTTTGCCATCCTAATACTGCTAGCTTAGTTGGATGCTGCATTGAGAATGGACTTCACCTCATTTTCAATTTCTCTCAGAATGGAAATTTGGCATCTGCATTGCATGGTGAGAAAGGTTTTTGCCATTCTGTTCTTGATTTTCAGTACAACTTGCAGTATTTATATGGGATTCAAAGATCTTTTTTTTTTTTTTTTTTTTTTTTTACATAGAAACTGTGGAATATAAATGGGATAAGATTATGCTTTTGAAAATGAAAAATAACACATGGAAGCATGAGAAAATATTATATCAATGGTAGGTTCCAAGTTGCCGCATAGAGGTTCTACATATTTGTGTCCTCCATACTAAGGTCGCTAAAACAAATATTTATTCGCCTCGACGAAAATATATCCTCACTTTATGCGGATGAATCTTTTTAAACCGATCTGTTTTGTATTACATTTTAGTGACATCTTGGATCCAAAAATTAGTGTTTTTTTTTTTTTAATTTACTGCCAAAAGAGTTTTGACAGTTTAAAAGAACTTCTAGTTAAAGTAAAAAAATATATATATATATATATTTATTTATATACATGCCTTCTCAAACAAACTTTCTATGAACAATTTAAAATTAACACCGGAGTTTTAATAAATTTCTATAAACTTCACTCTTAACTTTTTTATTGCTTGATTATTAGAAAAAAAAAATTAATATGATATTTTATCTTATTAATTACTTTTAAAAATGTAGTTTGAAACACTAACCGAACTATCATAGGTTTTTTTTTTTTTTTTCTCTTCATAAGGAAAAAAAAAAAGCAATATCAAAGTGGACGCAAAGATGAAAAAGTGGACCAAGATGGTGAATCAATAATCAATAGCTATCTGTATAATATGTGTTAATATATTAAAGGTGAACACACATATTAGATTATTAATTAATGGCTACGTGTGTGGTGATATATCTCTAATGTGCTTTAACTTAAACATTTAATTATATTCGTGCTTTCACTTCAACAATTAGCTTACCATTTGAAAAACTTCAAAAAAAAAATGCCCAGGAAAAGAAAGCACTTCTCTTGACTGGCCCATTAGATACAAAATCGCCATTGGAGTTGCGAGAGGCCTGCATTATCTTCACAAATGTTGCAAGCACCGCATAATCCACCGTGACATAAAAGCCTCAAATGTCCTTCTTGGGCCAGACTATGAACCACAGGTGATGATTAAAACATAAAATCCAACAGCTTTATGTTGATTTCGGCTACGTTCATTTCACCGATTCGAGTTTTTAGTTCTAAATTTTTACAGTTAAAAACTATAAAAATATGTCACATCTAATTTTTTATGGTACAGTTAAAAACTCTAAAAAAATATCACATCTAACTTTCATCTAATCCATAGTCATCTTTGTTGGTTTTGATATTGTACCAGAATACTCTCGGAAAACCGGAATCAGAGATGTACGCTCATCATTGTAGAGCAATAAATATAATCTCATAGGATACTAAAAATATATTAGCAGATTTTTTTTTTTTTTTTTTGATGAATTTAGTGATAAAAGTTGAATTTATACCATTACGTGGCATAGATATAAAGATGGCATAGTGACATTTTTGTATTCCTCCCAAATTTCTGCCACTCTACAGATTACAGATTTTGGACTGGCGAAATGGCTCCCTAACAAATGGACTCACCACGCTGTGATTCCAATTGAAGGCACCTTTGGATACTTGGCGCCAGAGTACTTTATGCATGGGATTGTTGATGAGAAAACAGATGTTTTTGCTTTTGGAGTTCTCCTTTTGGAGATTGTAACTGGTCGTAGGCCTGTGGATTCTTCCAAGAGCAACCTTCTTCTTTGGGTAACAAGATCCTAACTTTGCTACACCAACCTATTACTTATTGGATGAGGAAACAAATACTGAAAATAATGAGATTTTTACGGTTTTGCAATTTTTACTAATTATAACGTTTAGAAACATGCAAATATCCGATATTTATTTGAAATTCTATTATATGGTTTTTATATTAAATTAATATAAATTATTCTATATTCATAGTAATTGGGAAGAGTTAAGAATGAACATTTAATAACTAAGATTTAAGATTCTAGTAGTTTATTAAATTCCTATGTGTGTACAATTTATGTTATGCGAGCCCGCTTTGCTCAGAGGTTAGAGCATCGCGATAAAGTATACTTCTTTAATGAATAAATAAATAAAACAAGGGACCGGTCACATTTAAAAAAATTATCCGATTTAATATACAACTGCCAAATATAATAATTAAGGGTAGGCAACAGTCCCGCTCAAAATTTCTTTCTCTTAATTCTATAGTAAAATCTAATGAAATTTAATAATTTATGGTTCACTACATAAAATTAGGAAATTCTGTGTTTACTCCACCTAATAATATGTGAAATCTATCACTTGCCTTGTATGAAATCTAATGAAATTTTTAAATGTATTTCCTTTATTTTATTTTTATAGCTCCACCCTGGACTTATAAATGTACCCCACACTTGAACCACTCAATATGTGTTGCCCATATTTTTGTCCGAGCTTTGTTATGCTCATTTGGAAATTACAATATACCAATTAACCATGGTTGTTATTTTGTGTACGAATTTGTTTCTTGAAAAAATTGTGTTACTTTGTCATGTCATGGTATAAAATGTGAATATAATTAATCAGTAAAAGAAATTGATGGGTGCTTTCAAATATTAGTGCTACTCATGTATAATGTAACAAATGAAACAACAATTTCCTCATTTCTCCTCTGAATTCCAATCGTTATTGCTTATTTAAGGGAGTCACATATATATGTGTAGGCTAAGCCCCTAATGGAATCAGGAGACATTGCCAATCTAGCTGACCCAAAAATGGAAGGCAAATATGATGCCGAACAGCTGCACAGAATAGCGCTAACCGCTTCTTATTGCATCCGACAATCGTCAATTTGGCGTCCGTCAATGACTGAGGTTCGTGCACGAAAATATAATATTTTCGTGTCCCCGAACTTTGTTCACTTGCTAATTTTTTAACCGTCGTATCTTTTTTCTTGACCATTAGGTGTTGGAGCTTTTAACTGATGGCCGTGACTCTGAGGTTGCAAGGAGCTGGAGAATTCCAAAGTTTACCTGTGATGAGTTAGATGATTACTCAATGGCTTATGGCTACGAAGTTCCAAGAGACTTTCTCTTAGAGGATTCTTTAAGTATGTAAAGTAGGTCTACTTTTCTCGCTTTTGGGGATTTTGCTACAGGCTGAATCTAGAGGCTTCTTTCTTTTAATGCTTTTTATGTGAAAACATTGTTGTGGCTAGCCTATTAGTGATCTTGAGTTGTTTTTTTTTTTTTTTTTTTTTTTTTTTTTTTTTTTTTTTTTTTTTTTTTTGTTTTTTTGTTTTTTTGTTTTTTGTTTTGCTTGAGTAGATAGTGAGCTCGAGTTTGAGCAGTCTTCAACACTAGTTTCCTAGCCTTGTTTAGTTTACGGGTGTAATTTAAACCTTTAAGTTTAAAACATATATGTTGGTTTGGAAAGTGAAATCACCTTGGGTTCAAATGTTGAAAACTTAGGGGGAATTGAGTTTAGAAATCTTTCAGTGTTTGATCCTTTAGTATAATAGAAAAAGTGTCAAAGTTTTATGTTTGTTGTACATGTTATGCGTGATATCGTGGTTATGTGTAATGATATTTGTTGACGGTTGAATTTCACCATCTTGGGTTACCTCTTGGTATTCTGTTGGATTATTGGTAATAATTTGTTATATATTTGGGGTAATACTGTTAAATCGCTTTTTGTGAAATGGTAATTTAAAAAGTGCGGAAGTAGTGCTTGAATGAATGTAAAAGACTTGCAATTTTTATAGTGGTTCACTCTGTTAATTAAGAGCTACATCTACTGTGTATTGTATTTATTTTTTCTCTATAGTTTTTACAAATTACACAAAGAAGGATCCCCCTCATCCTTTGGGACTCTGCCCCTTTTATAGCCCAATGATTACTTCGTTGGCGGTTCTTCTTTGTAGGCCTATCTACTCGAGTGGCCTACTACCCTATGGGCCTAGATCATAGCCTGTCAACACATTTTACATTGTTCACTCATCCAATTTGTCACCTATTACGGCTCTGCAGATCCTGTAATCCTCAACCGTCCATTATAGGCGGTCTTAGGGACTCATAATTAATTCCTGGGCTACTGACATCTTTTGAACCAGACGCAACCTGCCTGTGTCAGGGATCTTTATTGAGGCACTCTGTAACCCGTACTCTGCCCTCGACGTCTATACTAGGGAACTAGGCTCTTCGCTCGACTGACTCTTGTGGAGCTTCCAATGCGCAAGTCATATAGACCTCGACGGTCTTGAGTGGTCAGCGGTCTAAGGATTCGTCCTTACGTTTGGCATTCTAATCATTCAGAAAGAAAACAAGGCCCAGACGTCGACTGCTATCTGTTGTGGCAAACATAGAGCCACGTGGAGCGCTATCGCCGTCCCACATGTTAGCGCACATTTTCTCATATAACAATATTCTCAAATTGCTATATATTGCGTGAAGGTTTTTTTTTTTCAAAGAAAAGCAAAATTTCTTTCTTGATTGATTCTTATACTTGATTTAACTAATTAGTTGGAAGTCGCACATAATAGATTATCTTAAGGTTCATAATAATGCACATCAATATAGATTCTTTGTCAACATATTCGCTAGATATCAAAATACAAGGCACATGAACTTCCAAAAGAAAAATACAAGGCACGTACATTATTACTATTTGAAAGGTAGATTTATAGGCTAATCTCACCAATTATAAGGGATAAATTTATATATTCAAAATTCCTTTTTGTTAAGATTCTTTTTTTTCTTATCATTCAACAATGGAACAACTATAGGAATTTATGGAACCATGTCATATTCTACAAGAACTGTTCTTTAAATTTAGAACATTTGTCTCGCTACAAAGAGAAAAGGAAAATACGTTTTGATTTGTGGTAGGGTTGTACTCGGTTCTGTGGTTTTCGGCACCACCAGCAATCCAAATCGACGACTCGGTTTCTCCAAGTCAGCCAACCGAAACCGACCAAGCACATGGGGCAACCAAACCGTAACCGCTCATGCATTGTGGTTTCGGTTTCGATTTAACCGACAGTTTATAAAATTTAGTGTTTAAACTTTTTTTTTTTTCCAATTCTTTAAACTATTTGAGAATTCTTAAATAAATGCATAAAAATTTAAATGAGCCCCAAACATAAGCCCCACTAAAAGTGGCCCATTTGAGGCTCAAAGTTGAAGTGTGAGAGCTAATGATCACACTGATGGCTTTTTATAGAGTTGAGGAAGCTTAACAAGTTAGTTTTCTTTTTTTCAACGTGGGACACTTTGGTCTCGTTCACTTCGCAGATTCGAGTTTTCAATTCGAGCTGAGATGTGACATTTTTAGAGAGCTTTTCACTATAGCAGAAAAAGTTAGATGTGACATTTTCTAAGAGTTTTTTACTGTAGAAATCTAAAATTGAAAACTCAAATCGGTGAAATGAACGAGGCCTTTAACATGCGTGATTGTAAGTTCTAAAACTTCCGGAATGGTAAAAAATAATAAATATTTCAGCACATCAGGTTTGACAATGCAACGCTCGTTCTTTAGTGGCGAACTGTGTTGTGACTTACCTTGGGAAGAGGGGTTTGAGTGCTCACTACCGCAAACCTAACTTTTTTCTTAAAAATAATAGTACGCTCGGTTCGGTTCTAGCCCAATTAACCAAAGTGAAAACTGGAACTAATCGTTTATGTTCGGTTCGCTTCAATGTGTTTCTGAAGTCATTTCGCACAATTTGATTAAATTATAGTTAGTTTCGGATGGTTTTTTCGGTCAATCAGTTATGCCGATTATCTTGAACACCCTTTGGCATGGTAAAGCAACCCTTAAGAATTTTTTTTATTATTATTATTATTTTTTTTTTTTAAGTAATAGAGATGCTCAGGCAATTCAAGTCAGGTCATCAGCTGACTTTCTAGTGCCCGAAGATTTCCTTTCACCAATTTCAAATCTTGTTAGGTCGGGCCAACCTAAAAATAGGCTGTATACAGCCTTATGTAGGTTTTCAGAATGCTTTCGTAATACGGATCGAGTACAAGTAAAAAATTTTATAAAATTTTTAATAAACACTATAGATTATATTAATTTATACGCGATTAAATTAATCAAATTAATTTAAGAATATACTTAGCAACCAATTGATAATTTGACACTTTGACCACGAACAATCCTAGCGCTTCGATTCTCAAGTCACCAAGAATCTTCCTTGTCTACTCCTTGGTTCTACAAAGGCTATATGTGGGCACAACTTGAACCAAAACGGGATTAACACTTAACTCACTAGTCTCCCACTACCATCAACACATGTACGCTGCAAGACTGGAAATTTTGGAAGAACATTTCTTATCTTTTTCTCTCGGGTTACACGCTTATAAACAGTAAGTTATACGCTAATCAGCTACATGTTACACGCTTACACTAAGCATTTTACACGCTTATTTTAGGGAAGGGAGTGAAAAATTGTGCTCTCTAATTTTCTACTGTCACCGATTTATAGAATACTAATTAGAGTCCCATACAGAGTCAAATTTATCTAATTTATCTCTAAGATAATGCTTCAAAAAATTAGTATTAAATCTTTATTTTAAATCGAGATAAATTCTCATTTAAATTCGTAACGATTTTCTCTTTGCACCCGACAATACAAATTGAGTTCATTAAAACTTGCCAGAAAGCGGTACAAATTGAGGTCGGGTACAAATTTGAGTTCTTTAGAACTTGTCAGAAAGCGGTACAAATTGAGTTCTTTAGAACTTGTCAGAACCGCTGCCGCAAGAGTTGAGTTGCATGAAAGGGCCTCCTTATATGGACATAGACAGTGAAGAAAATTCACTATAAAACTTGACAAAGCAAAACAAAACTTATTTAGAAAACTTATTTACAAAACAAAACTTATTTAGATTACAAAACTTATTTAGAAACTATTGTTTTCTAATTTTGGGACAAATAGAGTAATGACTCTGCTCTTATTTATAGGCCTTCATAATACAAAAAACGTAGTACACAATCGATATGGGACAAGAGACAATACATAAACCTACAAAAACAAAAAACAAAAAACAAAAAACAAAAATCTTACTCGACAATCGATACGGGGCTTAGCTAAAAAGTCAAAAATCCAACAAACAAATTCTTCAAATTAATTCTCACGTGTTTTAGCTTTAACGCAGTTTTATATAGCTTTTCTTATATTTTATTTCTTTCTAGAAGATTGAAGTCGACACAAAAATTGAAAGAAAACTGTGAATGCAAACAGAGAGTAACTTATTTTCATTATTTGAACTTATTGAAAGTAGGTGTGCCTTAAATCATATACTTTCTATGAACAATATAAAATTAACACCGGTTTCATTAAATTCTATAAACTTCACTCTAACTTTTTTATTGCTTAATTATTAGAAAAAAAATTAATATGATTTTTTGTCTTATTAATTAATATTGAAAATGTAGTTTGAAACACTAACCGAACTATCTTAGGTTTTACTTCTCTTCATAAGCAAAAAAACAATATCAAAGTGGACGTAAAGATGAAAAACTGGACCAAGATGGTGAGTTAATAATCCATAGCTATCTGTATAATATGTGTTAATATATTAAAGGTGAACACACATATTAGATTATTAATTAATGGCTACGTGTGTGGTGATATATCTCTAATGTGGTTCAACTTAAACATTTAGGGTGCATTTAGTTGCAGTGGGGGAATGGTAATGATAATGGGAATGAGAATGGAAAAGAAAGTTGATTCATTTATTTGGTTGTAATTTTAAGAATACTATAGAATGGAATATGAATATTTTCATGTATGATGAGAAAATTACCCTTATGTTATATATAACACTAATATTTTATATATCAATATAATTAATATAATATATAAAATGTAATAAAATTAGTATTATATAATATATTATATAATTATGATATAGAATATAATAATAATATTAAAATGGTTAATATAATTATAATATTATAAAACATATCATAATATTATATAAGAAACAGTAACGTTTTATAATATAATTAAAAATTACAACTATATTAGATTATATTATAATATAATATATAATTATATAATATATTATATTTAATACATTATGTAATCCTAACTTGTGTAATACAGATAACAAT